GGTATTGAAGAGCACCCGCGAGACTGCGATACAGGGTCAGATCAGAAAATAACGGCCCATCCGTGGCACTTAGTTTGGAAGATAAATCAACCGGTGTGGTGCACGGTTTACACGTTGACATAGAGGCGCGAGTAATGATCTCCTTAGCATATTGAGCTTGAGACAGAAAAAGACCGTGTTTGTGGTGAGTAGCCTGGATCCCCAAAAAATGATGTAAGCTGCCCAAATCAGTCATGGCAAACTCTCGTGAGAGGGTGCCAATAATATCGTTCAAAAGACGATCATAAGAAGCCGTAAGAATTATATCATCCACGTATAGCAATAAATATGCAATGTTAGACGCATCTTGACTATAAACAAATAACGATTGATCACATGTGCTACTGTGAAACCCCTTTGATGTAATGAAAGTGGCAAATCGTGTATACCACGCCCGTGGAGCCTGTTTGAGTCCATAAAGAGACTTCTTCAATCGACATACATGATTTGGAAATTGTTGATCAGAGAAACCCGGTGGCTGATGCATAAAGACTGTTTCATGAAGTTCCCCATGTAAGAACGTATTCTTTACGTCCAACTGATGAATGTGCCAGGATCGCGAGACGGCAAGCGAAAGGACCGTCCGAATAGTGGCGGGTTTAACCACCGGACTAAAGGTTTCATCACAGTCCACACCCACCGTTTGAGAATTACCATTGACCACCAAGCGTGCCTTATACCATTCCAATGAACCGTCGGACTTAAATTTGTGTTTGAACAACCATAGGCAACGAATAATGGGTCGGTCCTGTGGGTGGGGAACAAGCTCCCATGTTTCATTAGCCTGTAAGGCCGTATACTCGGTTTGCATGGCATGCAACCAATTAGGATCAGTGAGGGCCTTGGAGTATGAGGTGGGAATGGGTGAAAGGGAGGTGGTGTGGTGAACGGCTGAGGTGTGAGAGCGGGATTTGGACCGGGTTGTCATGGGGTGTTGGGTGGGGGTAGGCGTTTTGGGCTGAGTAACGGGTGGAGGAGTGGGCTGAGGTGGGACGGGCTGTTGGTGAGTGGTAGGTGCTGCATTGGGAGGTGGACGGGGTCGGCGGGAATATGTTAAAGGATAAAAGGCAGCAGCCGGAGTAAGTGTGGGGTGTGGTAAGGGCCTTTGGAAGGTAAAACCGGGTGGTGGGGAATCGTCCAAAAAGGTATACGAGGCGGGTGATTGGGGAATGGTGTAGGGAAACACATGCTCATCGAAGGTCACATGTCGGGATATGTGTACTTTGCCCGTAGTAGGGTCAAAGCAACGGTAGCCACGAAAGTCGGGTGGGTACCCTAGGAAAATACAACGCACAGACCTATGGTGGAGTTTATGGGGTTGGGTGGCAGATGTATTGGGATAACATGCACATCCAAACACTCGTAAGTGTTCATAATCAGGGTGGTGGAGGTAAAGAGCAAAGGTAGGGGTAGAAAAGTTGAGGCGTTTAGTTGGTAAAATATTGTGAAGGTAAGTGGCAGTGTGTAAGGCTTCTACCCAAAATGATGGAGGCAGATTTGCATGAATTAAGAGAGCGCGAATGACGTCATTTAGTCGACGAATCATTCGTTCGGCTCGGCCATTTTGGGAGGAGGTTTGAGGGCACGAGAATCGGAAGAGTAAGCCATGTTGATGTGCAAAAGATTTGAAGSCTAAATTGTCAAATTCACCCCCTAAATCACATTGGAAAGTTTTTATTTKGCGGTGAAATTGGGTGAGGATTAATTGGTGGAATTTGGCGAAGGTTGGAAAGGTTTCAGATTTATATTTCAGGGGATAAACCCACACAAAGTGTGAGAAGTTGTCAATTAAAACCATGTAATACTTATATCCTGTTTGACTTTGTATTGGCGAAGTCCATAAATCGCAATGAATAATATCAAAAGGAGCAAAAGTGAATGTATTAGAGGAATAAAACGGCAATCTTTTACTATTGGATAGTTGACAGGAATTGCAAATATGATGACAGTTGTCCTTATGACATTGAAAATTAAAATTGCGATTTAAAATATCTAGAACTTGCGCCCCGAGATGCCCTAAACAATTATGCCAAGGTAGGTGGTGGGAGGCAAGAAACGTGGCTTGAGGCGGCAGTTGAGGAGGTGTGAACGTGTAGAGACTCCCGGTGCTATTGTGGCGAGAAAGTGTCTTCTTAGTTTTGAGGTCCTTCAAAGAAAAACCAAACAGGTCAAATTCGACAGACACTTGATTATCTCGAGTAAAACGTCTAACGGAAATAAGATTTTTAATTATGTGGGGGCTGTAAAGGATATTTGGGAGGATGTAGGTTCAATTGGGTAAAGGGTGAAAGCCCGTACCTGATCCGTGAATTGGTAACAACATGCCATTACCGACCAAAATATTACGACAAACAGGAGAAGAATCAGGGAGTAAAATTTTACCTTGGTCGTTTGTGACGTGGGCCTCGGCTCCAGTATCCAAAACATCCGAAGTCCAAGCTGTGTTGGAAGAGTTGACCTGCAAATTGGCCATGGCAGCACTTAAATCTGATGGACTCAAAGGGTTGTAAACAGGCTGTTGATAGGGAAAGAACTGGGCCGGAGTGTAACCGGCAAAGTGAGCTTGAGGAGAGCCGGCATAGTGAGCCGGAGGAGCAGACTGTGGACTGGGCTGCCATTGCTGCTGGGTCGGGTATGGATAGGGAAGAGGCGTCCACTAAGCCCAGTTAGGAAAAGAAGGCTGTTGCCCCCGCCACGAAGAAGTGTTCTGCTGTTGGCGGCCTCCCCGACCCCTGCCCCGACGATTGAAGGAGCCACCGCGACCCCGGCTGCCACCGCGTCGTTGAGAAGAGTAATAAGATCCATTAGGTTGTTGAGTAGAGTTCAGCAAAGGGTTGGCAGATGGCGGCGCTGTTGGAGCGGCAAGAACCGTCGTTTGGGACCCTTTTTGTGCTTCGAGTCTAATGACTTCATCATTAAGCATGGAGACAGCCTGGTCCCAATCCATGCCCTGCTGGTTGATCAAAAAGGCTATGGTGTTGTATTCGGCTGGGAGTCCACGGACAAGTTGAAGAACGAGCCGCGATTCGAAAACAGGCTGATCAACATCGGAGAGCTGATTTGCCAAATCAGTCAGTTTTTGACAGTAATCGTCAATGGAGGAGCAGGCTATGAGGGTGAGATTACAGAACTTAGTCTCGAGTGCTGCAGCGCGAGACTTTTTGTTGCTCAAGAAGATCTTTTCGAGCTTTGTCCAAGCCGTTAAGGCTGTTGCAGTCGAATCCAGGATACGATTGAACAAATCATCAGAAACTGTGCTGTAAATCCATTGAAGGACCAACACATCAAGTTCTTTCCACTGTTCATATTGTGATGTGTTAGCGGCTGTAGGGGCTAAACCATCGATGTGATCAGAGACTTTGTACGCAACAACATGGAGGCGAAAGAGTTTAACCCAGGAAGAATAGGTTACCTTCGTTCCGTCCAATGTGCGAATCTTGGTTTGGATGTTCGTAACTGAGTACGCCGGGTGGAGAGAGACTTCTTTAGTAGATGGTGCGGCGGTTTCGTTGGTCATGGTGGCGCAGCCGGAGGAATCCGGTTAGGGTTCAGAGATCGGAAAGAAAAAAAGGAGGAAGAGAGATATCAGATCGTAGCTCTGATACCATAAAGGCTTGTTTTGGTATAAAGATTCAATGCCTATTATTGATTATGAATGCCCTATATATAGGGAAGAATACAAGCTACAAATCAGGAAAAGATATACATATAAAATACAAGATTATCTCTAAATAAATGGTGAATATCTATTCCTAAATATAGGAGATAATCGGTTGGCTAAGACTTAATTGCAAAATTATTCTTGATCAATTTTCATCTGATCAATTGTGCATAATTGCAATATTTTCTTTGATCAATCATTTGTGATCAAATAAGCTTACAACGTAAATTTTTTTAGGAGGGATTGAGAGCTTAACAAAAATACCTTTATAGACTATCAGAACTGACAGCCCTACCCAAGAAGACAACCATATTTGAGTGAGCTTACATGCAAAATGGGTTTGTGTACAGAGCTGAAAATGAAAATGAGTGGGGTAGTTGAAGTGAGTTAAAAGAATTGATGAGAGTTGTGTCCTGGATTAGAAGATTAAAAGAATCCTAATCTATATACTATACTCCAGGCAACCACACAATCTATTAGTTCTCAATTCTTTGGAGACTAATATTGAAACAGGCAAAGCCCAGGCCAACTCTCGTCATAACCCCACCAACTACTCATTTATCTATCAAAAGAGAAGTGTCCCCCCTTGAGTCTTATTGATCACATATTGAGTCTGATGTGTAGTCCATACTGTTTATCTTCTTGAGCTTAATCTGAAGCATTAGTTGCTTTATCATTTCTTCACTGCACATATTTATAGAATATTTGTTATTCTATCGTAACATTCATAGATACGCTTCTTAAAGCTATCAATGATTAAATAGAAGTCCTGCTAAGATGAACATTAAAAAGTCTCATATATGAAGTATATTTGTTGTACTGAATATATCAGTTATATTCATATGCCAATCTTTTATAAAGATTGAAAACAGGTTCATAAGTTGAATCTGGTTCTTTCCCTCACCTTCATAATCCAAAAAGATTATGTAAATGAATTTGAAAAGATTTGCTTAACTTTTTATGAATTGACGACATTCCTACAAGGATCATTCATTTTAGTGTATGATGTAAATGCTCCTCATTTTCATCATAAGGGGGAATTTATATTGAAAATGAATGAATATTTTTGCATCAATTCAACATAGAAATGTCTTTACTCTCATGTTTCTTCAGAATTTCATTTAAGGAGAACCTTGTTTCATGTTCGTTCTTTAGGAATGGTCCATCATTAGGAGTAGAGAGTTTTTTCTTCTTCCTTCCACCTTTATTCAGAAAGGGCCTGTCAGGGACTGCGACATACCTGGACATCCTTTTGATGAGATCGTTGATGATGTCTTCGATAATCGGCTTATGTCTTGACTTGGATCGCTGAATGGCTTGCCTGATTTCCAGCCATTCGCTGTATCCATATCAGCTAAAGTAGGAAGGGTACTAGGTGATGGCATCAAGATTGTCCCTGGTGATGAGCATTAAGACAAGAGTTCCACCGTCTTTAGATCTTCCGCTGATGCTGACGCTCTTGATCAGGTGAGGACTGATTCTCTTCTTTAGCTTTGCTTCACTCCAGTGCTTGTCCCGCTCAGCCAGCTTCAAGTTTTTCTCGTGCTCAGCTTCTGAAAGAGAAAGAAGTTTAGCTTGGGCTTGGACAACGTTCACCTTCTTCTTGGACTTTCTCTTTGGGAGAATCTTTTGAGCTAGTGACTTGGCCAGCTTTAAGCTGTCTTCAGTATGTTTCTTCTGAAGCTCTAGCTCTTCTTCAGCCCTAGCTCTTCTTCAGCCCTTAATGCTTCAAGTCTTTCAGCTTCTGAAAGGAAGTCGAACTCACCACCACTAGAGGTATAAATAGGAATTTTTACTCTAGTCTGGTCGAGTGACTCCTTTAGCTGAGCCATCTTCTAGTAGGTGGGAGCACTGGAGATCAGGTTTTCAAGGACCCACTCCAGTCGACCGCAGGTAGTTGATGGAATCTAAAGCTGATAAAGAGAAGTGACTACCACCTGAGAGGTAGAGTCTTCAAACAAGGGTTGAGGAATGTTAAATAATACATTCAGGTTCCCTTCTTCAGCAACGCCTTTGCCTTTCGACTTAGGGTCCTGGTTCGTTGATGGAGCGAACTCTTCTTCCCTTTGCTCCCCCCTAGGATGCAGAATCCTTGAGGGCGACTCCCTTGGTGGCGGTTGTTGGCTTTTGATACTGGATGGTGAAGTCATCTTCATCATCATCGTCATCATCATCACCATCTAGGTCATTGTCGGGGTCTAGAAGATCAGGTTCGTCATCTTCATCATCATCATCATCATCACCAACAACAGGTGCAAAGGTGATGGGAAGATCATCATCCCTAGGGATGACATTAACTTCCTCAGCTATAGCAGCTTCACCAGAGTTTGGAATAGCTTGGGCAACCTTAGCTTCAGCTTTAACTCTAGGAGCTTCAGCTTAAACTTCAAGGATTGCTGGAGCAGCAGATGGTCCAGCAGCGTTGGACCTCATCTTCCCCTTTCTGGCTATGACTTGAGAGTATAAGCCAGAGAGTTCGTCCACGCGCTGTTGCGGGAGAACCACCATTTCCTCTAGCCATGACAGAGCGTTGGCTAGAGTTGTCATTGCTTCACGCTTCTCATAGAGTTGAGCGCGATCATCAGCAGAGAAGGATGGCGAGATCATTGGAGCGGGTTGACAGATAGCATCCAGAATTTGCTGAAGAAGCTCCGCCTGCTGAAGAGACTGAGCCTGAGCGTCATCAGCCTTGCTGGATAGAACAACAATGGCTTCAGAATTGGCTCGAACAGCCTCTTGTAGAGTCAAGAGCTGACTCCTTACTTCTTGAACGTCAGCTTTGACAACTGAGAGGTCCGCATCAAGATCGGCCTTGCGAGGCATCTCTTGATGAACTTCGGTCATCTTGCAGAAGACACTATCAACGGCTAGGAGTAGAAGTTTGACATCTGAAGCCATGTCATAATCCTTGTCATCTTTTTCGTCAATGGCGTCATCTTTCCCATCTTCTTCCCTCTCTTCTACATCCACAGACTAGGGCGTAGAAGAAGGACCTGCAAGATATGAAGAGTGAGCATGAAGAAGCTCAGGGTTATAAGAACTGAAGGGGTAGGAAGATGGAATACATAAGGGGAAATCAGTGAAATCCAAAGGATTGGCACTGGCATGCTCAAAGATGTCCTCGAGAGGATGGGCATCTGTATGCTGAAGAGCCTCGAAAGGAGCAACCTCAGGTCTAGTGTTGTGTGTTTGAGCATCAGGAAGGACATTCACTGACGAGTCATCAACACATGTAGAGACCAAAGAAGAAGGAGAAGAGAAGATGGCTGAGAATAGGCGTGGGTGTTTAGCGGTGGCGGTGCTGATATTCACAGTTTCAGTGATTTGGGTCACTAAGGCGGTTGGGGTAGGTGCCACTGATACGACAGTGATTGGAGAGATCACTGAAGAGCTATAAGGGTTAGCTAAAATTGCCTCGGGGTTAAGGATAGTTTCAATAGCTGAAACCTGTCGAGAGGTCTCAGCCAGAGATGTGGCTTTCCCCTTTTTGGCCTTCTTGGCTCTCTGAGGAGAACCAAGAGTTGGTTGTGAAGGTCGTTTGGAGGAGGTTTTAGTGGCTGGGTTAGACGTGGGGGGTTTTCCCTTGTTTTAACCACCTGAGGAGAGGAGGGAGTGAAGGGCACTATTGAAGAGAGTGCAACATCTTCATCCCTCAACTTATGATCCAGAATCCTGGATCCAAGCTTGCACACCTGAAGGTTTCCTTCTTTGGAGTATTTTTCTCTAAAGATCTTAGCGAAGACCATGGAAAGGAACCTGGTGTAGGGCACCACCTTTTCTCGCTGGCGCTTGTTCAACTTTTGCACCAGGTCATCGAAAATGACCGCAACATAATTTATATTGTGACGCTGAATCGCAGAAACACCAATCGTTAAGGCAATCTTGGAGGCTTGGTCTTGACTTCCAACCTTTCCACCTATGGACTGGATGAAGTGAGAAAACAGGTATTTCCAGATTGCTGACATCCTGTTTTTCTCAATCTTCGATATGGACTTCATGGGAGCATTTGAGTCCTTCTTCATTGGCCATTAATAACCAATGGCATCGAGACATTGGATAATCTCGGCCGTTGTGGGCTCGTTGTCGAAGGGCCTTTGGGGAGGTTAAGAGCGGTCCTCATGGTGTTCACGCCAAACTTCATAGTCATGCGGTTGAATGTGAAATTGATTTGCTCAACTTGGCGGCCATGCTTGTCTTCAACGTCGACCATCTCAACAGTGAACCARAACTGTTGTAGAACCTCCTTAACCATGACAGGTTCATGGTTGAGGGCAAATGCAAGTGACGACTGTTTAGGGAAGTCAACCGCTTCCTGGTAGGACGCCTTGTTCGAGGGGATGTCCAACAAGGCAATATGGTTGTTGGCCTTGAAGGATACTTCATCGACGGTGAATCCGACATTCTTGGCAGCCATCTGTTTTTAATGAGAAAAAGAATAGATAAAACAGTTTGTTAGATAACCAAGATATGTGTATAGATAAGTTTTTGAAACAGTTTGTCCGATTTAACACTTAGAATAAATTTCAACACCTTTGTCCGAATAACAAGTCCGGATAATACATCACCCAAAGCTTGACCGATTTAAAATAATCCGGTCACCACATGGTCGTATTCCTACTTCTCAGTTCAAAATGTTAACCATTCTTACCAATTATAACTCGCTTGACATTTAATCGGTTTAAGACTAAACCATTCAACACTTGAGCGGCTTAGGGCTTAATCGCCCAACCCTTGATCGATATAAAAATAACCCGGACAAACTTTGTCCAATTTAGACTTAATCCGGTCAACCTTTATCCGGATAAAACCCTTAAGCAAATAACTGATTCCTTTCTAATAATAAACCACATTCAAAT